GGAAAGATTTACCGCCTTGGAAACCTACGGAGCAGTTCTATTGTGTCCTGACGGGTCGCTGCGGGTCGGAATGGACTCCATGAGCAGAGGGTTGGGTTTGGTTTTGATACTAAGTACTAGGCATTGTTAGAGTCAGGGCATGCAGGGGACTTCAAAACAGACAGGATTCTGCCCTCAGGGACCCCGACAATCCACTGGGACGGGTTGGGGATGGGGCAGACGATCGCGAGGGAATACCCAGGGCTGTTGGGAGACCAGGGACAGGGAAGGCCTTCCCGAGGAGGGCCCTTTGACCTGGGACCGCAACAGTAAGCAAGAGATGACCCCAGGACGGCTGGGGCTAGTTTTCCAGGGCGAGGGGACGGCAAGCGCCAAGGCCTTAAAGTGGGACCGAGCTGAGTAGCTTCAGGACAAACAGAGCGAGCAGCTTAGTGGCGCGGTCTGGGTCCCGGCCCAAGCTGAGCTAGGCTCTGCAGGCCCGGGCAGCTTCCGGGTTTTACTTAAGCTCTCGCAGAGGGGGCTCCACCTTCCTCCCTTTACTGGGGGCAGATGAGGCCCGGCGGAGCCCAGCGCGGCCCCCGACGCCACACAGGCCCGCGGCCCGAGGCTGAGGCCCGCCGCAGCCCACGCGCGCCGCACTGTGGGAGCGCCCCCACCGACCAGGCGGAAGCGGGTGGGTCCCGCGAGGTCCCGCCGGGCCTTCAGCGCCAGCCCCGCCTCCGGCCCCGCCCACCGTGGGCTGACGCGCCTGCGGACGGACGGGCAGAATCTGCGCAGCGGCGGCGTTCGGGCACAGCGGCGGAGCGACACGGCGCAGCCACCATGGGGGCCCAGTTGAGCACGGTAGGGAGGGCAGTGGGTGGGCGGCGCGGTGGCCTTGCTGCGACCAGCAATCGTCAGGCCTTAGACCCCGGGCGGCGCCACTGCGACACAGCCGCGAGCAGCGGGCGACTGGGCGGGGAGGTTGCCGGGCGGCCTGCGAGTCAGGAGCGCGGGACCCCCAGCCCGCGGTCCGCATGAGCTTGCAGCCAGCCGGGCAGCACCCTGTGCCACACCCGGTGCGGCAGGGACCGTGACTCATGCCCGGAGCAGCTGCCCTGGCGTCGAGAGCGTGTGTGTGTGTGGCCGGCTCCGGGGGCGGGGACGCGCCACTGCAGCTCCTCCCACCGCTGTCGGGGGCGGAAGCACGAGTGTGTGTGTGTCTGTGTGAAAGTGGGTATTCATGTGTGTACGAGTGTGCACGTGTGTGAGGATGCAAGAGGATGAGAGCAGTTCCTATGGATGTATACTGTGCATGGTGTGTGAATGAGTTAGTGAATGGGAGAGTGAGTCTAATGGGGTGTGTGTGCCTGTGGGAGTGTACATGTGTGAGTGCAAGAGGATGAGAAGAAGACCCAAACCAGTTGCCGTGGAGTGGGTTCCGACTCATAGCAACCCTGTGGGACAGAGTAAAACTGCCCCATTGCGTTTCCAAGGCTGTCAGTCTTTGCGGGAGTGGACTGCGTCATCTTTCTCCTCAGGAACGGCTGGTGGGTTCAACAAATGGCCGACCTCTTGGTCAGCAGCCATGTGCTTAACCATTGCTGGACCACCAGGGCTCCAAAGGGGTTGGGAGTGAGTACATAGGGTCAATGTACATGGTAGAAACACGTGAATGTGTGAGAGTAAGTTTATATGTGGGCGTGTGAGTGTGGATGCGAGAGGGTGTGATTGTTTATGTGTGTGAGTATATGAGTGTGCATACGATTGAATGAGTGTGTGTATGAGTGAGTGTGAGTTGAGTGTGTGAGTGTATGATGGGAGAGTATTTGTGAATTCATGTGTGAATAAGTGTGAGGGTGTA